TGGAGTATATCGTGTTTCTAGTTGGAAAGTGTGTTGGGCGGGGAGGTAGTAACGAAATTTGTTGCTTAACAGGGCAGTGAGGAGGGGGGGGGGGGGGAGGGAAGAATTTGATTTCCTTCTCACACTCCCATAAAGAGAGAAATTGCAAAAACTCAATCACTCATGGCACAAGAGAACCTTATAATTGCAGAATAAAAATAATAATATTGGTATGACCTAAACTCCAGAGTAAAAACTCTTGAAACTGAAGGCAGACTTTTGTTATTGTTACCTAGTCAAGAATGCAGATTGCAAAGTAGGTAGCAAGGCCATTTACTTTGGTACAGAAAGTGGGGGCTATCAGTTACAAAATAGAGTTGAGATATAGGAAAATCAGAGAAGATTCATCGATTACTAAGAAGATGAATTGACAAAAAGCCAACAATAGTGTTGGGAGCACACAGAAAAGATTTTGCAGAGGAAACCTATTAACTGTTGGCTAACCACAAACATAGATCACACTAAGACACAAACAGTTCCAAACTTGTCTCCATAACAGAAAGCACACTTAGAAAGACTCTCATAGGTATCCAAAGAAGTGTTTCCAAGCAACTCAGGTACTATTACAATGGTAGGTCATAGAATGGACTCTGGAAGTGCAAGGCCAATAAGACAAAAACTTTATTCCAGAAAGAGCCAGATACACATTGGAAAGAAAAATTCAAAACATGCTATGGAGAGCTGTTGAACCATAACACAGCAAATAGACTTCCTCTGTAGTTTTAGTGGTTCAGTCTAATAGGGAAGTGAGACTTTGTATAGATCTAAGATACCTCAGTCAGGTAATAAAATGTGATAATTTGAAATGAAATTTCTTCATTACAGTCCATAACTAATAGAAATGTGATAGTTTCCTGATGCCCAGAGTAGATGATCTACTATAGTTATGTGGAGCTAAATATCTGTCCAAGGACATAACCACGTACTGCTACAAATACCTCTGGAAGAGAACTCTAAGGAGAAGGCAGCCTTTGCAATAACTCAAATAGTAGCCCAGTCTACAAAAAACAAAACAAAAACCTTTTGATTGTCATGGTGCACCAGCAGTCTTTTAGAAACGAATGGACAAAATTCTTCTAGGCAGGAAGTACTGTGGAGCTTATCTGAATGATGTTGTAATTTACAATATTATCTGTAAGAAACATTTCCAGCAATTAAAGAATGTCATTTCATTCCCAAAGAAGCTGGCTTCACCATTAACCCAGCCAAATGTCATCTAGGTTATTCTGAGCTGCATTATTTGGGCTACATAATTGGTCAACAAGAAGTTTAACTAGAAGAGAAAAAGGTGCAGGCTAATCAACAGATTAACTCCTAATGACTAAGATGTAAGATTATCCTTAGGACTTACTGTGGATGGTTTATACCTCATTTTTCTACTAAAGGAAACATTCTCAAATTCTTAATTAAAAGGAGTGAACCTCAGAAGGTTCCTTGGATTCCTGAATGCCAAAAAGCCTTCTAAAAGTTAAAAACTGCTTTATGTAGTAATCTTGTGTTAAGAGCACTGGATTTTAATCTTCCATTTCTTGTCTATATATTGATGTATCTGATGTAGGGTTGGAAGCAATTCTGTTGCAACACTTTGAGATGCAAGGTGTTCAATTCTGTATTTTTTTTTAAAGCTCTTACCTAGAGAAACAGTATACATAAAAGAAGACCTATGCTGTGGAGCAGGAGGTGGAAAGTTTCAAAGTGAATTTTGATTCCATGGGTAACTATTGAAAAAAAACAAAAAAACTATGGGATTGTGAATTACTATAGTGCTAGACCACCAACCATTACTTTAGATGGAAAAAATTAAAGATACTAACTGGAGACTCACCCACTGATATCTTACACTACAGCTGTACAAGTTTGTGAGTCAAAACCAGTCAGGGAACAACAAAGGTTGATGGTTTTCTGTTTAGCTATGAAACTGACTCAGAGATTGCTATCTGCAAAACAGGTATCAATGAATCCAATGGAAGGCTTGGGGAACACACCTCAACACTTCCCCAAAAGGAGGGTTATGTGAGAAAATAGAGAAGTAAGTGATGTCTGCCACCCTGTTATGTAACCATCCAGACTTACAAACTGTACTTTGTTGCTGATAATCTGAGTTTGAGAAATAGTCAAGGGAAGGAGTTTTACACTCAGAGAGCCTCTCATAGGAAGAGAGAAGTTGAAATGGCTAGGAGGCTGGCAAGAGCGAGAAGAAAAAAGGCTATCAGAGCAAGACTGAATTAAGCAGTCTTCTGAAGAGATGCCTGATTCAAGATCACTGAAGAGGAGTTGACATAGTAATTGATACACAAAGATGAGAATGATATGGCCTGGGATCTGTCTACCATGCAGAGAGGAGGATAGGGAGTGAGAAGATCATCTAAAGGCACCAAAAAGAAGATTAAGGTCGCACTAGCTGGGAGAGATTGCCAGCTAAGTCTTGTCTGAAGGCCTCGATTTGGAGAATTTAGCAATAGCTACTGTGAGGGATCTCTTTTGAGAAATGGTACAGACCACCAACAAAGAGACTATTGTCATCTTCCCTGTGTTTCTAGAGAGGCTTTTATTATAGCAAACTCCCTAATCTTTAAGTTAACACTTACCACTAAACCTGTGCTATATTATACTATACTTACACTAATGTCTATGTCTGCGCCTATGTGTTTTATCTAATTCCTGAATAGTCCTATGGACATTTCTGTTGTCCTTTGTTGCCTGAGTTTATAACAAAATTAGTTGGCTTCTGATGCCACCACCTGCTTGGAACTGCTGCTGAAAGTGTTGGCTTTGGACCGTTTCTCAGTTTGTGCTGTGGGGGGCGGGGAGGAAGGAAGGTGTCTTATCAGTCACTGGCTGGCTGTAGTTTCCAGAGTCCCTGCCGGGACGGTGAGACTGCAGGGCTCTGCTTCCCCTTTCAGCTTTCTCGCTGTTGATTTGCGGAAGTCCAAGCCTGCTCCTCCTTCACCCTCAGTCGCTGCTAAGCTGCTCCACTCCCTTGGCTGCAAATTCTTCCCCTCTGCTTTCCCTCACAAGGCAAATCTTTCTCCAGTACCCCAACACTTTGATGCTATCCGCGTTTTCCTTTTATAACTGGAAACAAGATGTGGTCTGGTGCTGCTCAGGTTGCCTTAAGGTCCAAGGGGAAAAAACAAACGGAAGGAAAAGGTCATGCTGGCCAGGCTTTCCTGCCACAGCTATACAATTAGCTACAGCTTTTAGGATAGGCCCATGGTTGTATTGTAGCCAGGGAGATAGCTAATCTCAAAATAGGTCACCAGGAGTCAACACTGACTCAAAGTACCAAAAACAACAACAACAAACTCCATGATCCTTTGGATACTGATGACAGAATGGGCGTGGGGGAACTGAAGTTCTGTTTGTATCCATTAGTTGAACGTAGTTGGCATTATTATTTAGCTAAAAGAATCAAATTCATAGACAAATATTTTTGTACACTAAGAATAAAGGAAAAAATAGATCCAATTCACAAGAAGAGCTTTGCGTGCTGTGTTTTGCCTGATCAGTTCTGAGAACTCAGGACGTTGCAGTTGTCTTGTTCCCATAGCTAAAGTTTTGTTTCCCTTCTGCAAGAACATAGATACAAAACAGGAGTTATGAAGCTCTGTCTTCCCACCATCACAATTCCACTACATCTTCTGAGGCCTTTTCTTTCTAATGTATTCAAATAACACCTTTTTGCAGCCTGAACACCGTCTTTCTGATACAGGTCATATAGTTTCTAGAGATCCCCCTGTTTTTTCCTTTGGTTGGGTCCCCCTTCTCCTATTTCTTATATATGTCCTTTGTTATGTTCAGCATTTCAGAGAGTTCTGAGTGTGTCCATGATGGCTTCTATACATTCCTCCCATTTTTACCTCTTGTAAAGATGCAGCAGCGATTGTCCTTTTGGTATCTCAGGATTTGAAGCCATTGGAACTGACCTGCTCCCCTCTTCTGAACTGCAGTATGCAGATCTGACTCTTCTCAGTACCTCATCTCCTGGATATTATTATTTCTGGTCTATGCTGGTCTGTTATATGCACGCACACAGACTTACATACATAACACGCATACAACTTATTACTCCCTTTCTGTATTCTGTATAATACTGCTTACCCTAAAAGGGTAACGTGATGGATATGATGAATCTGTATTTAGAATATCACAGGCAGCTTATTTTCTACTTTTCTGTTTCTTTGATTGTAGATTGCAATAACCGTAAACTCATTGTCGGTATTGAAGGAGAAGACATTGTTTTGTCACCGTTAGTTACAGACAACCTAACAGGAATTTCTTGGAAGAAAGGAGAAAATATAGTGGCTGACTCCAGGTTTACAGTTGGAAAGGAAAATCAAAGAATTAGTTTTAACTCTTCCTCTGGCAGTTTGTTTCTCAAAAACCTTTCACAGAATGATACTGGAAATTACACAGCAAAAGTTTTCATTAAGGAGAAAATCAAGGAAACATGCTTTGATCTGAAAATACTAGGTAAGTAGCAGTCTGCTGGATTATATACCAAAGAGTAAGATATGCAGAACAGTTCTATTTTCCTTTTAAATGTATAGTATAGGAATGCTTATATTGTCACAGTGCAAAGTAATATGCCATATTCTGTACTGTTGTGTTATAATGGTGTTAATGGATTTCATAACTATAGAAATGAATTTTTGGCATAATTGTAGTTAAAGTTAATTAAAATAGAAATTATTCACTTTGCTCCAGGCTTTGTGGGGAAAAGGTTATTGGACTGCTGTCAATCTAGCTACAGCAAAATCTGGAACGTCTCTATTGATTTCTCTGTGCAGCTGATTTCTCAACAGTGCAGCCGATTATCCACAGAAGCGGCAAACGTCCCTCAAGATTATATCACCAAAATTCAGCAGCAAAATGGCCAGATTTAAGCAGTGCAGGGTTTTGTTTTTGTGTTTTTTTGGTTTTCAAAATTGAGAAAAGACTGGGAGCAGGAGGTCTTTCAACCTTCTGAAATCTAAAAACGGCCTTGGAGGGGATAATTTGGCATGTTTTTGATATTTTTTCAGGATTTTACAGAAAAAGTACAGGAGCAGAAGACCAGGGACAAACTGCTCCCATCCCCATCCTTAACCTACTCACATAGGCCTGAAATCAACATTTGGGTGACAGTTTCAGGCCATTTTCATGGGTTTGGGTTCTGACAGAAGCAGCCTTGTAAAGATTAGTCAGTCATACCCAGAGTTGTGTTACCTTCTTAGACATGAATTTAAAGTATTGCTGTAAGACATCAAAAGAAATCACTGGTTTCTGTTCAAGTCTGCTGATCCACGTAGATACAAATTGCACAGCCAGAGGAAACGCTGAAGGGTTTTCAAAGTTGATGAGGCTATGGGTAGAAAAAGAAGGCATATGGTGGCATATGTGGTAGTGTCATAATTGGCTCCAGGGGGAGGTCATTGTGTTGATCAGGGAAGCAAGAATGTGATGATGATGAGCCACCAGGAAACTTTTCTGACTACAGTTGCTGAAAATCAGCTGCAATCACAAAACTGGAATTTAAGTCCTATTATAAACTGTGCCATGCTATAACACCAATTCTGTTGGGATCATTACACTATAGGTAACGATCTATAAACAGACTTATGTGTTGCAGAAATTCAACACTGAGACTACAATTAATAAACAATTTATTAATATTTGAGACATGGTAGAGGCAATCAAATAATAAGCAGTTGACAATTTATGGGGAATAAAGCACAAAGAATGTTTAAATCCTACATACAGGGCAATCAAATCAGAAGCAGTAATCTATGAGAATTTAGCACAGTGTTAAATTCAGTGAGAGAAAGAGAAGTGCCACAATTGTTTTGATGACTGGCTGGACAGCAGTTCAGAGAGTATCACATTTAATTCAAAGAGAAAAATACAAATGGTTTGAAGAGCAATAGGGGAAATGGGGGAAATTTAACAAGTGATTTGCTTCATACAGTGTTCAGCTATAGGAGAAGAAACATACAGACTTTTGTTACAACAGAGAGAACCAGAGGTTTGGAGACTTCATGCCACAGTCAAGAGAGAGAGAGAGAGAGAGAGAGAGAAACCAGGATGTAAAACCAGCAATCTCTCTCACACACAAGTGCTAAGCAATACCTCTTCATTTGAAAATGAAAAATGAAAATAGAAGCTTTTGCATTTGGGTATGGAGTTCTCATTCTCAAAGATCAGGATTAGGTGGATCCTCAAACAGTTGGAAGGAAAACATGGGCCCCCTATTAGTAATTGCTTTGCCAGTACTTTTTGGCTGAATTTGCTAAGCATGCTCCTTGGCTTTCTGAAACCATGTTTCTCCTGGAACTGAAATTCAGTTCAGTTCAAGGAGTGGGTACAGGCATACCTCTTCTTTGTCTAATTCTGGATTTAGCTGATCAGGTGAAGCTGGCTGGCTCTTCCAGGCTATGAAACCCCATTCAGCCAGGCTGCTTCCAGGTCCCAGGAAAGCTTGCCCTCTCAGAAGGCAATTTTTTGGAAGGGTCTGTTCAGCTCCAGTAAGGCCTAGCAAGTTACTTGGGCCTGTACTACGAATCCAACCCAGTGGAGGATCCTGATAGACCTCTGCCCACATGAGGATCACCCTGGTTGAGCTCCAGTTTCATCCAGGGTGGGGCCTGCCTTCAGAGGTCTCAAAGAGGTTTCTTTCTGGGATAAACAAAAAACTGGCAAGTGAGAATGAAAGTCCTACAATTTTCCTGAGTGATATTAGCTTTGCATGGAGTTGGAAAGAGAAGAGAAAAGCATATCTGTGATGGAATGTGAGGGAAACCTTGGAAGATGCTGCCTAGGGAACGATCAGATAAAAGAGAAAGGAGTCTACCACAGAATAACAGCCAGAGAAAGAAATTTAAGAAGGATCTGCCCTAACTACTCAGGCAGTAAATAAGGAGGGCAGGAGATTTGTATTTTCAGACTTGCAAGATTCTGTTAATGTAGCCTTACAATAAAGTAGAAT